TTATCTTTGATGACGTGGCATGCGACAAGCAGGATGCTGTGAGAGAATACTTTTCGATGGGCCGCCACGCCAACGTCGACTGCTTCTATCTCTGTCAACCGTATGCGAGGATACCTAAACATCTGATACGTGACAACGCGAACCTGTTGATCCTGTTCAAACAGGACGGTACCAATTTGAAATATGTTTGCAACGATCACGTGAAAACTGACATGTCGTACAACGAATTTTGCGCGTTGTGTCGTGACTGTTGGCAACAAAAATATGGATTCGTAGTGATAGACAAAGACAGTGCGCTCACAAATGGACGATACAGAAAAGGATTTAAAGAGTTCGCGATACCGTAACGTGATCAGTTGTTGTCGATATTTCATCAGAGACAAACATGACAGATGTGCGCGAACGTGAAAAAATCGCGAGGGAGATCGAGAAGACGAGCGAGTCGATCCGCAAGAAACATCGCGCTCTGACGACTGGTAGAATCGAGGAGGACATGGCATTGAGCAAACATTTTAAACCCTTATCGAGCCGCTGCGACTTTTCGTCGACAACCCCGGCAAAGAGAGAGTCGCGCGACGAAGATGCAGCGTCTGCTCTCAAGCGCGTGAAGAAGAAGGAGGAGGAGAAAGAGGAAGAGAAGGAGGAAGAGGAAGCGAGCGAGACGTTCGAGTGTTTCGCGACCCCACGTAAATTCGATGATCGATCGCACGATCGTGTACAGCCGATAACCTCCACCCCGCGTACGGCGATCGTACCGACGATAGAATCGTTGGAGAACGTTTTTCGAAACGACGGATGACTCGCTAGCAACGAAGGTTCAAAATCAGCTGCAAACGTCGGAAGGCCGAGAGGCGTTGCGAGCCGGCTTGGGCCCGCTGGGCCAACAATACGTCGAGGCTGTTCTGAGGGGAGACAAACGGAAGGGCGATTACGTATACGGCGTTTACCTACACAAGGATGGATTGATGTTTGGCAATAAACGTTTCGACGTGGATGACGCGGACAATATAATTATCGACGGCGTACGATACGCCGGTACCCCCGGTCTTTACGAGTTGATTTTCAAGAGAATTCCCGACGATCTCTACACGGAAGACGATATGAACAAGTACAAGAGCATGCTGGTGGCGACGAATGCGAACAAACACAAGCATCATTCGCAGGGCCGATTATTGAGCAACTGGGGATACAAGTACAAACACATAATCGCGCCGCTGATGTCGATGACACCCAAACCGAATAAGAAATCTGGAAAGGGATTACCTCGCTCAACGACGCTAAACGAAAATGCGATTGATTACGTGCACTGGGACGACCCCAACGAGCTGGTGGATCGTCTACGATTGCTCGACGCTTCGCACCGAGCGGGTAACAACGCTCACGACAACGAGATGCTGTCCATTATCGAGGAACTTCGCGAAGCAGGTCTTATTATAAATTAAATCGTGTATCGACGGAACGAGTCAGACGAGTGGCGTCAACGAGAAATAATACATTTTTTTCTTTTTTTCTTGCACCCTGTGTATTACGCGTCGAATCATGAAAAAGAGAAAAGTTGGCGCCGAGAGACGTCGGCTCGTCGAGGAATTGCACGCTCCGGGGAGAAGAAATTTTCCGCGAAGGCGTGTCATAGTCCAGGGATACGACGATCTGTGGCAGGCTGATATCGTCGAGATGCGTCCGTACTCGAGCTTCAACAGAGGCCACCACTACATACTAACCGTCATCGATGTGTTGAGCAAGTACGCGTGGGGAGTACCGCTCAAGAGCAAGGGTGGAAGCGAGACGGCTAACGCTCTCGCTGAGATAATTCGAGCGAGTGGAAGATGTCCGAAAAATTTACAAACGGATATGGGGAAGGAGTTTTACAACGCCAATGTGCAGAAGATCTTGAAAAAACACGACGTTAATCACTATTCCACGTATTCGACGTTGAAAGCGTCAGTGGTCGAGCGGTTCCATCGCACACTCAAAAACGACATGTGGAAGATGTTTACACTCAACGGCAATTACAAGTGGGTCGACGAGCTGCCGCGTCTCGTATC